TTGGACGATAAAGTTGCATAATTGAGCGACGTGAAACATCATAGATTACCATTTCATTCAATTGTTTTATCGTTGCTCGGCGAAATCATCTGTGATATTGTTTCTTTCTTTAATAGAATGTTGCTTTTTAATCGATTCTCTTATGCTCTCTCTGTTTGCTAATAAACGAACACAAGATTGATCGTGCTGCTTCATGATCATTGATCAATTTTGATAACATTCTCAGTGAGTGATGGATATTCCTCCAATAACTAAACACTGTTCTGTTTATTGCGAAATTATTTAACTCAGCTCAGGCTCCATGTACAAAACAGCCTAATTATCTCGTGCGGCAGAACAATCTAGTTATGATCGCGGAAATTCTCATGTATAAGTACATTACGTACGTTATTGGCGAATAATGCACAGTTCTTAATAAACAGCTCATTCAAGAAAATGGATTCAAACAATTTGAGGATCTACTGATTGATGGGTATTTTTAAGCACTGTTTCTGATGTATTATCACTCACTTAAGTGACTGTGAGATACTTCGAAAGCCGTCATATTACAAATGAAAATGTATTTACTTTTGTTATCGAGCAAAATCTCCTCTATTCGACAGTATCAAAACATCATCAGTTCCCAACCAAAACATCACCAGTCACCAAAGTCATTAGAACCACCCGGCTTGAAAGGGCCGTATAAAATCGTTTCAGTGCTACTATTCCTTAACATCCACCTCTTTCAACACATTTGATCGCAATGTCGATCATTAATCAATCGATACTTGAGCATCCAAATTCCTTTGAGAACCTTTCTCAACCGGGTCAAATGCTTAGACTTCAGCATTTTTATGTATCTTTTCTTATCATCAATTCGAGAGATTTCTGGGCTGAACGAGTTGTATCAAAATGCTAATTTTGTGAAAAAGTGATGCTTAACAGCGTGATTTCGCATGTTTTTGACGCCAACTCTGATGATCTGGATCAATCTTAAGCTCATGCTCGAACAGGTGACAGTTCAGATTCGATATATTCAAATACGATTAAGACAATTAAAGATGCGATTAAAGGGAGTTTTACAGGTGAATCCAACGAGCAATAATCACTTCCGCACAACACACAGAGAGAATTCCATTGCTCCATATTAGCAACGTTACAATAGTTAATTCTTGTGATTACCCTTGCGAAATCATTAAAAGTTTGAAGAATATCAACGAATTCGGTATTGACTGACGAACGTGAAAAATGAAAAAATGAACAACATTCATCGGTAATTCCGTATTTTCACCAACAAAATACTGCTGTCTACAGCACATCACAAATGTTGCATAAAACAGGGACGCAGGTCAAAATGCGTACAGAGAAAGATCGCTATTAAACATTCAGATTGAGCAATCTTTAAAACTGCAAAATGAAAATATTCTCAATGAGAAAACAATGAATATGAGACCGAAGACCGCAAAAACAATTTCGTTAAATAAAGCGAGCGAATAAACTATGATAAGAACAAAGTTTTCAAGTATACTTGACACGATTTGTTTTCGATGCAGTGCAAAACGATCGGGTGGATAAGCATAAATTAAAGCATAACTGAGAATAAATTGAAGGTGTGACAAAAAGCAAGAATAAAATACAATACAAAGCGAGTGAAACAGATTGAAAACTTTGAAATGGTAATAATGAGAAGTTTCTCTCCCTGAGAAGAATCATCAGATAAGTTTAGGAAGCAAAGCAATTCCAGCATAGGATCGTGGCCGGTTCATGCGGACCTCGGGTTGTGTCCATGTACTTGATATATTTTCGACTGATCGATCGATTTCCATGTTCTCATAGATATACGACAGCTCAACTGACGATATATCGAGTGTCTCCAACGAATTCAGATCCGTTGTTCCGTCATCACCTAATAANATAATGCACTGAAATAACTAATGCATAAAAACGAACAACTCTCGCCAGTCACATCAAAACAAATCGTTAAACAAATTAAAATATCAGTTATTACCTCCAATGGCAAAAACCGTCGATCCAAGAGCCACTGCACACGCGTTACGTCGACATACGTTCATAGTGGGTAATTCTATCCAAACGTCTTTAATTAAAATCTACAAATTGATAAGTCAAATAAATGAGTGAAGTGAATGAATAGATCTTATAAGATCCATTAAATAAAGCACAAATAACCTCAGCCGTGTCCCTTACAACCGGACCGTCATGACCTCCGATCGCAATCAAGTTCTCGTTAACGACCGTAACTGCGGCACCAGAACGTCTCCAGATGAGATTAGGACCACCTCTCCACCTATTGGCTCGTGGTTCATAGATTTCGACGGTGTTCAAGCATTGTCTCATATAGCCATCATATCCACCAACCGCATACACCAGACCGTTCAGTGTGCTGACACCAACCGACGAACGACGCACAGACATCGACGGAAGTGTTTGCCAATGNTCATCAACTCTAACAGCCAACAGTAAATCCAATTTCTATCACTGAATGAACAAATGAATAAACCGTTGGATGAATGAATAATTTAGGGAAGAACAAAAGTGAAAATGAACCTTCACGAGGATCGAATGCTTCTGCAGAGCTCAGTCCAGTCGTGCCATCGAAACCGCCAATCGCGATCATTCTATTCTCAACCACTGTCACGCCCAAAGTACTTCGTCTTAAAATGTCTACTCATTTAGTGCATTAATAAAGAAAAAATTATAAATATCGCTACATTTCAAATGCGTGGAATATAACACTGGATGATATACAATCTCAAGAGCATTATGAACCAAATAAAATGAATAAACGAATAGATAAGTGAATGATAACCTGGCATCCATTGGAACAGAGGGATACCACTTGTCTCTGTGAATGTCATACGCATCCACAGTACGCACCCTCAACGAACCATTGAAACCACCGACCGCATATACCGTATCACCAAGCTCACCAATACCACAGCGACAACGGCGTTGCGGTAAATCACTCACTACAATTCATTCGCTGATATCATATCAATAGTCTCACTCCCGTTATGAGCACTGTCGTGCCATTTCTATCATTCAAGATGTTTTGCTGCTCGCGCCTGCACTGATACGACATTTTCGAATGTTTACTTCTAGCTACTCAACTTCAGCAAATATGAATCGAACAAAACAGATCTTACGAGATGTCCATCGGATGGAATCTACGTCAAACACATCAACGTTAACGATTGCTTTCGGAGACTGACCACCAACTAACATTATCAGCTGTAATTCGATTATATCAAGATGTAATATTGGAATATTAAAAATAATAATAACATATTGGTTTGCAAATTGTTACAAATAATGCAAATGAACATCATCCCTATAATGCAAATAAAATCCCTTTAAAGATATTGGAATAATACGAATAAACAACAAAATCAAATGCTCCATGTGATGAACGTTTACTAAAAGGGAACAAAATATCAACCTCACATTAAA